AGCTTTCTAGGTGTGTTCTTTCAGGGTCGTGGTCTGCACTGATTGGTCTGTGCCAGGGCAGGGGAGTCATTAGTCAATGTAGCTGGTCTTTAGGCAGCCAGGGCATCACTTGGTTTTGCTGCTTTTCTGGGCCTGGAAGTGAAATACAACTGAGGCCTAGATATCTTTGGAGAGGAAAAGGTCGGAGGTGGAGTAGGGGGACTAACCCACATGGCTAGCCATATGAAAAGTCAGGGGGTCCAAAGCGCATGGCCAGCAATATGCTAGGGGAGGATAGGTTACCCTGGGGCAAGGTCCTTGTATTCCCAGTTTTGCCCCTTGCTAGCCGCCTGCCCTCACCCCCACCCCCCACCCCCCAGGCTTTCTGCCCTGGTGAGTTTCTGCACCTGGCCCGTCCTTCCTTGCTCTGCTCATGTCTGACAATGGGTAACTGAGGGACGGGTCCGTGAAGTCAAAATGGCAAGAGAGACACATACCTCAGGGGAGTGGGGTCCAGATACCTAGGAAGAAGGTGTCAGGAAAGAAAGCAACTTGCACTCTACCTTCATAGGTCCTGTTTCTGAGGGCCTGGGAATTAAACTGAGGAAAGACAGATTAGCAAGAGAAAAGGAAGTGTTAATTTATGCATGCAATCTTAATTTATGCGTCCAATGTACAGGTCTGCAGGAAGGCTGAATGGTGAGTCACAATCACCATTAGAATTTGCATCTTATACACCTAACTTAGAAGAGAAAAGGGGTGGGGAGAAAAGGCTCCGATGAGAAAAACCAGTAAGTTTCTTCAGGAAAGACTTTTCTTTTTGTAAGAAGAACAAACATGTAATAAGAAAATTTGTGATGATGTTTGTTTATGCAGGTGCGAGTGTATATCTGCCTTCCTCAGGCCTACCAAACTTCCAGTCCAGGAGGGGATTTATGGCAGCCTCATGTCCCAAGATTGGCTGCTTTTAGTCGGATAAAGGAAGCTCTGAGAAGATCTCTGTTGAACCTCAGAGCTCTTTAGCTTCAAATAATTCTTACCCCAAGGCTAGGGTTTTGAGTGGCTCCCCACAGAGGAAAACAGAAAATATACACAGAGGGAGGAGAGACTTGGGCTGAAGAAGAGGGAGGCTCCATAGATTGTGAGGTGATGTTATTCAGAGTGAAACTCTTCATTTGTCTGTTCTTCAGGAAATTTGATTAGGACTTCAAAAGTATAGCGACTGCACAGCACTGCTGCTTTTGGAGGCTTTGTCCTGAAGGAGAATCTACATCTGTCTAGCAGGAGTAGAATTACCCTGGAGACTCTATTGACCTGGTGTTATCAAGCCTGAAGCCCCAGGATCCACACCAGTCACACTTTACGTTTAAGTTTTAATTTTTTTTAAATATATGTTATTGATTTTTTTAAAGAGAGGAAGGGAGAGAGATAGAGAGTTACAAACATCTATGAGAGAGAAG